GGTCCTGGATCGAGGCCCGCGTTGGGCTCCCTGCTCAGCGGGAAGCCTCTTCTCCCTCTCCCACTCCCCCTGTTTATGTTCCCTCTCTCGCTGTGTCTCTTTCAAATAAATAAATAAAATCTTAAAAAAAAAAATGAAAGAAAGCAGAAGGGGGAAACACAGACAGAGTCCTGAGCAGGTATAGCCCGGGTCCCTCTGACGTGATCTCACAGGGAGGTCCACATCAGTATTCTTCCTCTCCCTTCACACGTAAGCACCTGCCACTTTTACCATTTCTCCCAAACATTCTGCCCCCCCCCATCCATTTACCCTCCTTTCTTCTTCAGCAGAAACATTAACTTGCTTCAGAGACAATTACCATGACGTGGTTGAGAATACAAGTTTTAAGTCAGAAAGCCTAGATTTACTCTGCAGGTGTCACTTACTACTTCATTTGCACAAGGGGGACAATATGACCTCCTTTCCAGACTACGAGAATCCCATGACACAGCAGCAGTGCCTGGAATGTGTAAATGTCCTCCAAAGAAAAGCTACTGGTGTTAAAGACTAAATCTGGGGAATATGGGAAAGAGAAAGCACAAGCTGCTCAAACGTCCATGGAGATGGCCGACTACAGCACAAATTGGTTTCAGCCTGTGAACAAGTGAGATGGGAAAGAAGACTTCAGTGTTTTGAAAGAAGTCAGAAAAATGGCAAATTTAAGGACACGTGATGTGACAGAAAAGTGGGAGACAAACTGCTGTGAGTCCAACTGTGGGAGCTGGAAAATGAGCACAGGGAAGTTAATACTACTCTTGTTTTTGTACATGTTTGAAACTATTTATAATAAATTTGAAAGAAATGACAAGAAACAGGGCAGAGGGGAGGGAGTTACTTCTGGTCTCAGAATCAGAACAGGTGGAAGGAGACTATGGAGAATCTCAAGAAAGGACTTGGTCCCACCTCCACCACAGACTACAGCTGAGGCTCTCTCTCCTTCAGAGGGAAGGTCAATTACCCAACTCCCAGAAGGGAAGCCCACATTCCCCACCATCTAATGATGGGCTCCTAACTTGCCAAGTTTACGTAAAGATGGGAGCCACTGCAAGACCAAGAAAGCGCTTACAAAAGGTCACTGGTTTCCCCATCATCTTCAGACCTACTGCTGTGTGTTCACCCACTCGGGCACACCGTGGAGGGGATCCAAGGTGAGCACAGCGGACAGTCACCTGCCCGCACAGGGAAGTCAGAGAAGCGAGAATAAGACGCACAAGCAAAAGTACTGACTGAGGCCAGCTAAAGAAACCCCGGTGGGCGTTTACTCCCTCAGTTCGCATCCATCGTGTTATCTCTGCGCCAGACACGTGCTGCGGGGGACCCAGCGATGAGCAAAACACCAAGTCCTGCGCTCTGAGGAGTTGACAAGACTGTCTGCAACGGCCCTGCGAGGGCCTGGCGTAGGCAATGCTCAACCCTGAAACAACGCCAAGAGCCCCCAGGCCCTGAGACGTGAAGCCCCGCCCACTGGGCAGCGGACCCGCCCCTCGACGTCACGCCCACGCCCACTCCGCCGCAGCTCAGACCGCAATTGCCCTGCCTCCTCGCCGCAGCCCCAACCCAACGTAGCCACGCCCACCACACAGCCCGCCTCACCCACCTCCTTAGCACCGCCCCCGCGGCAGCCCAGACCACGTGTCGCCCCGCCCCGTGACGTCGCGGGCCCGCCCCCTGCCCCCTCCCACCACCCCCACCCCAGGCAGCCCCGTTCCTCACCAGCTCGAACCGGTTGTTGACGCAGACGCCCTCCTTCCCTGCGCCTCGGGGGCGCCGGCCACCTGGACCCCGCTTTGCACCTTCTTCTTCCGCATCATCGTCATCGTGGAGGACAAACTGCAGGGCGCCGGGCCCGAGGGGCTCCTGGCCGCGCTGTTCCCCCCTCAGCCTCCGGAGGGCCCGGCGCGACATAGGACCCAACGGCCGCTGACGTCTGGAGACCGGGAGAAGGAAGAGCAGAAAAGAGAACGGCCGGCGCGCCTGCGCACTTAGGGCGCGCTGGCGCGAGGCTGGCGTGTCGCGTCTGCGCGCTGAGGTTCTCCGGAACTTCCTCTCGGTCAACAGGGGCATTAAAGAAGGTGCGGGCGCGTCCAGGCCAGTTCTCGCGCGAGTTGGGCGCCTCCGTGCGGCGGTCTCTCTCGGGGTCCCGGCGCTGGGTGTCTCCGGGTCTTCCGGAGGCGTGTCCGCGATCGCTGTCGGGCTGGGGCGGGGACTACACGGGCTCCGAGTCGTCTACACCGGAACCTAGACCCTGCTCTCTGAGTGCGGGCTTGCCGGGCGGGAGGAACCTGCAGGTGGGGCTAGGTGAGGAGGGCGAGCGCGCAGGTGGGCGCACTGCCTCGGGGCGTTCCACCTGTGGTGGGGCACAGGTGATAGACAGCTGGGCGACCTGGCGGGCAGGTGAGTGCTCTCGGTCCGCCTCCGCGGCTGCAGGCGGGACATTTCCCTCCTTATTGAAAGTAAACACATCCAAACCGAGGAGCTTTCCAAAGCTGCAGATTTCTGGACCTCTTCCTCCCCGGGATAGACTGAAACCGAATCTTAGGGGCTGTCCTGGGCGTTTGCCTTTTGTTGTCGTTAATGCGTCCCAGGCGATTCTCCTAGGTACGGGAATCCCTTACTGTGTTTTAACCTCCTGGGGAGATTTTTGCAATGAAGATCAAGGACCCACCCCTAGCAATTCCGAGGTGGGGTCAGGCATTGATATTAAGAGCTCCTCAGGGGATTAAAATGTGCAGGCAAGATTGAGAACCCCTGCACTGCAGAGGGCCAAATACAGGAGCAAGAGGAAATGGTGTGAGTGTGTTGAAAGAGAGGAGACGGCAGCCTTGAGTGTGGCCATGGCACTGTACCAGATTCTTAGATCCTGGGAATAGTTATCCCCCCCGTTTACAAGTAGAGAAACTGGGATTCAGAGAGTAACCGGCCCAGGTAGAACCTGGATTTGCATGCAGGTCTGTGGTTCCAAGGTTCAAATGAGGAAGGCCACTGGCAAAGACCAAGAAAGGGAGACAGGGACAGGATGGGTCATGGCCTCTGGGATCCCTCTCCCTTGACCCTTGAGTTCCACCCCATCCTGCCTTCCTCTTAAGTCTGAATGTTCCTCTCTCAGACTGGGAATTGGGTCTCCAGAGACACACAGAGGGAGAGGATGTGTGCACCCACGTGTGCGTGGCTGGTCAGCCCGTACTGGTCTTCAGGATCTTGCAGTACTTCACACTGGCTGTCTCCAGTCCATTAGCTGCTGTCTCTGGTCCTGGACATGCACCACCTGCTCCAACCACTCCCCTGGAGTCCCCTAGAATTTACCCTCCCTACTTGCCGTAGTGCTGTTATTAAAGGGCTATGCTCAGCCCCCGGGGGAACCTCCAGGACACCACTCTCTTGTCCATGCTATTGTCCAAGGCCAGGCTAGTTAAGTAGATTTTGTGTCACCCCTGAAGCAGTGTGACCAATTTATGCAGGTTTCTTCCCTCCCCTGTGGATGAAAACTTGGGGAGTCTCAGCCTGGAGCTGCTCCCTCCTTTGTGCTTCCAAAAGAGAGCAGCCATGTACTGCTGAGAGATGTAACATCAGGCCCAACCCAATCATGAAATCTCGCCCTGTACCACCGAAGGCATGGCCCTCAGTAAGGAGTTTGGTTGTAAACAGCTCTAGAGAAAGCTCTGTTGGTCACAGTCTAACTTAGGTGAGGTAGAGATAGGGCTTGATTCAATGGGGTGACTGCACAGCTTTCAGTACCTGGGGTCAGCAGGAGGCGAGCTCCGCAAGAACGTGGACACACCCTTCCGACTTCACCTTCAAGATTTATGTGGGCCCCTTGCAGCTCAGCCTAGCTGTCCCAACATGGGTTTTTATTTTTATTTCCAAGTATTCCTGTGTGGAGTAGAACCCTGGTTTCCCACTATTGGGAACATGGGCCTGAAACTATTCCCTGGCCCACTTCCTCACCTGTGTAATTAAAACAATGACAACAACGCTCACCTCCCAGGAGCAGCTGCCCATGGAGGTTGCTGCACAAATATTAGCTTTCCCATTGCTGGCTGTGTGACTAGGAGCAAATCTTTATCCTTTCTGTATCTGCTTCTCATTTTTCTTTTTCTCTTTTTTTTTTTTTTTTTTTTAAGAGAGGGAGAGTGGGGCAGAAGGCTCCATGTCCAAGGGGGGAGACCAACGAGGGGCTCGATCTCATGACCCTGTGATTATGACCTGAGCCGACATCAAGGGTTGGACACTTAAGCGACTGAGCCACCCAGGAACCCCTTTGCTTTCTCATTTTTAAATGGGAATAATAATACTCCCTGCCCATAAAATGCCCAGAAGTGTTGGAAGCTGGTGTTTTTATTGGCTGTTGTAATTTAGTGTAATTGAATGTCATGGACGCCAACTGATGAAGTACCCTCTCCTGCAGGCCCCTGTGTTACAAGTCCTGACCCTTGGGGCCTCCTCTGGGCCCCCGTCCATGTGACAGGCAATTAGAGCCTGGCATCTGATAGGCCTGGGTTGAGGTCCCAGGTGAGCTGTGTTTCTTTGGCTTAATTGCTTCCCCTCTTGAGCCTCGGTTTTCTTACCTGTAAGGTGGGTTGACACCCACCTCCCAGATGCATGTGGCAGGCAGAGCACGTAGGTGCTTCTCCCGCCATTCTCCTGAAGAGCAGGTGGAGCTGCCCCCACCCTGCAAACCCTAAGGGAATCATCTGCCCAGAGAACAGGAGTAGGGATCTGGGGATGAGGCCGGCAGTTTATAGGCATCAGGCTGAGCCACATGCAGCCCTGCCGGCCATGGGACCAAGATGGCCAGATCATGAAGTTGGGCATCATGGACGGGAGTGGGCCTGAGCACCTTCATCTCATGATGGGCATCCTGAATGTGCACCAGAGGGCACGTAGCCCCTAAAAGCCCAGCTTCTGCCCTCGGAGAATGTGCCCACCACTGTGGCTCAATAGTCCTCAGCCTACACCCCAGACAAAAGACTGTGAGACCACCTTTATTAGGCCAAGAGCAGCTGTGTGTACAAATTTACAGAGTTCCTCCCTGCACCAGGATCACCAGCATCACCAGGGCCCTGGAACCAGCACCATCTCTGGACCTCTGAGTCTGTGAGGATGGCTGGGGCATGGAAGCTGGGCAGGGGGCAAGGAGGGAGCTTGGCCTTGAACCTTCCAATTGGAAGGGCATGATGCCGCTAGGAAAGTATCTGCCCACTCCTGGTCTTCCCGGCTGCCTCTGCAGGCCAGGTTCCGCTCAGAATGCTCCTGTCTATCTGGGGACCAAAGCATCCTGTCCCAGCCTGGACATCTACCCAGGGAGGGGAAGCTGCTGTGTTCTCATCCTCAGGATGGAGAAGAGAACCAACACGGGGGTGGGGGTCTTCCCAAAGCCCTATCATCTGGAATCCACTGTTGTATCTCCAACCTGCCCTTCTTCCTGAGTGAGAAAACCTACTCCAGTGCCATCCCCTACCCCCAGCCAAGGACTCCCAAAAGCAAACAGCCTCCCCCGGGGAGGGTCCTGAAGTGAGCCTGACCCCAAATAAACTCTGGGGCCAGGAAATGTATATAAATATATAGGCTGTGTGTATATATCATATAAATGTATCTATATATGTATATATGTACATGCACACTCAGGAGGGCAGGCCAGCAGCTGTGCCCCAGGATGGGGAGTTTCTTAGCCAGGGGGCAGGACTAGCCTGGCTCCTCTCCAGAAGCCTGGCCACCTTGAAAAGCCTCTGGCTAGGTGGCCCAGGAAGGCTGAGAGCCGTCACTTGAAGTTGAGAGTCCCGGTGTTAGGGATGTAGAGGGACTGGGTTTGGCGGGTACGGCGAGGCGTGGTGTGGAGGGCATCCACACTCCTGCGGCTAGAGCGCACCACGTCCGCCACGAAGCTGGTGCAGTCGCTGCACACATCCCTGAGGACGCAGCCGTGGGTGTAGATGTGCGGGAATGCCTCCTCCACACTCTGCCACTGGGGCCCCTGCAGGGATCTGGAGCAGGACAGAGCCGTCAGGGAAGTCTCTCCCCGGCTCCTCCGTAGCCACAGCCCACCCGCCATAACCCTCCCATCCCCTACCCCCAGCAAAAGCTTTTCCTCAAGAGGTAGCTGGAGTCCTGGGATCCGCCCACCAGTTCCGTTTCCAGCTCCCAGACCCTCTGAGAAGTCTCTTACTGGACAGCTGCCTTGGATTTCCTTGTCCTGGGAGTGTCCTAGCAAACCAGCCCCCCAGCTCCTTTATTACTGTCAGTGCCTGACCACCACAGCGATACCAGCAAAGGGCAGAGGAACACACTGGAAGGCGTCTCTTTTCTGGGTCGGTGTAGTTCTGGCAGTTGACACCCTCCGAGGACTCTCAAAGCCCAGCGCGTAGACGGGAATGTGCGCAAACTTCTTAGAAGGCATCTTCATCTACAACACACAGACGGAGAGGTGGACCAGGCACGCCCCGGAGACAGGCGCCTGCACACACACCCCCACCCCCACGGACAGCCACCAGCTCTTGGCCTGTGTGACGCTCTGGGCGTGTCTAGAGGCCATCGTTTGCCCTATGTGTGCTCTCCGGACCCCCACTCCATGCCTGCCATCTGAAGGCCTGGGCCCCCTTGCTTGGTACCCACGCCCAACCACAACCTGCACTCCCCTAGACAGACAACCTGTAATGTATACCATGTGGCACACACCCTGCATGCAGTAGATTCTTAATGTTGACTAGGCGGCGGTCTCTCCGCAGTGGAACGGCAGAATACGGAGGGTTTGAAATCGAGGTGGTAGGACCCCCTCCCAGAGGCCCTTGTTTCTAGGCTGGGGTGCACCAGGATGACATAGTTCTAAATGTGACCACCCCCTGTGTCTGTACATCTGCAGATACAAAGACCCCCCCCCCCCAAGACTGCCACGAAGAACCTGCCAAAAACATTCAAAGCAGTTGTACTGCCAGAAGGGAGGGCCTTCGGAGGGGAAGTGAAGGGCTTTTCTTGGCACCAGCCTGCTGACGTGGAATGTCAAAAAACATTTTTGGGGGGCGCCTGGGTGGCTCAGTGGTCAAACGTCCTGCCTTCGGCTCAGGTCATTAGCCCAGGGTCCTGGGATCAAGCCCCCATCAGGCTCCCTGCCCGGCGGGAAGCCTGCTTCTCCCTCTGCCACTCCCCCTGCTTGTGTTCCCTCTCTCTGTGTGTCTCTCTCAAATAAATAAAATCTTTAAAAAAAAATTTTTTTTAAAAGACCACCTACATGTCTTTAAAAACTACATAGTCTTGGGGCGCCTGGGTAGCTCAGTCGGTTAAGGGTCCGACTCTTGATTTTGGGTCAGGTCATAGTCTCAGGGTCATGAGATCAAGCCCCACGCCTTTCTCCGTGCTCAGCGGGGAGTCGCTTAAGATCCTCTCTCCCTCTAAAACTAATGATGTAATGTATGGTGATTAACAGAATAAAAAAATTAATTAAAAAAAAGATCCTCTCTCCCTCTGCCCCTCCCCCCACTCAAAAAAATAATAATAAAAATAAAAACTACACAGTCTTGGAAAGTATAGGGATGGGTTTTGTGAGGAGGAAGGAGATGGACAAGCTGGTCCATGTGTGACCAGCTCATAGGGGACAGTAGAGCCTCTGTGCACCCCCCCACTGTGGCTCAAGCCACGTCAGCTACAGGATACCTCACACACCTGGGGCCCTGCGCAGACCCCAAACACTCCTCACCTTTATGCTGCAGGAAGTGCAGACAGCCCTGGAAGGGAAAGAGGAGGGTCAGCTGTGAAGAGGCCACAGAGAAACCGTTCCCGCCGCCAGTCAGCTGCCCTGCCCCCTGCCTGACCCCCAGTTATTCAGTATTTCGCTTATTTTATCCCCAAATCTTGCTCTTCTTTTTAATTAGCTGTACATCCAAAATATTTCTGCCACTCACAGCTCTTTCTCTGGACGGTTTGGTCTGGGGATTCTTCATGTGCCCAACACTCCCACGACAAGCCCCTCCAAACCAGAGGGGCCATAGTTGAGCGGCTCAGTTTTAAGCAGCGATGAACATCTTTTTATTCCCCATTCCTGATTTCAAAAATGAATGCCTTCTTGGAAAAACCCCAACAGAGAGAGGACTGTAATGGAGACCCAGGAGTCCTCAGAGGCAATCCTGCTGACAGGTTTCCTTCTCCAGATCCAAGTGCGATTGACAAAGATACACATTTAAACGTAAAATAAAAATAAATGGGGTATTATGCGTACTATTCTATAAAGATACATCAGGGGACAAATTGTCCAAATTTATTCTTTAAAAGAAGGGACGGTGTCCTCTTGCATGGACATCTTATAATTGGTTTGCCATCTAGAAACCTCTGGGTTAATTTTATCTTGTTTCACTGTGGTCAGGGAACGTACTTTCCATGACTTGAATCCTTCTACATTTTTGAGACCTGTTTTATGACCCAGAATACGGTCTATTTTGGTAAATGGTCCGTGTGCACTTGAGAAGGAGTACATTCTGCTGTGGTTGGGTGGACTGTGCTATGAATGTCAGATCAAATCGGTTGGTAGTGTTCAAGTCTTCAATATCCATAGTACTTTTCTCTCTGCAAGCTTATCAATTGTTGAGAGAAGGCTGTTGAACTTCTAATTAGAACTATGGATTTACCTCTTTTTCCTTGCAACTTTATCAGATCTTTACTCCACATATTTTTGAGCTCTGTTGTTAGTATGTCAAGTGTTTACAATAGTTATTTTCCCTCCTTATCATTATGACAGGAACACCTTTATCTCTGGTAATGTTTTTTGCGATCTACATTGAAATTAATACATCATCTTTCTTTTGACTAGTATTGGCATGGTCTATCTTTCTCCACTCTCCTTCTAACCAGTCTGTGTCTTTTTAGGTAAAGTACATGTCTTGCAGGCAGCAGATGGTCTTGCTTTCTTTACTCTGTTGTGTAGACATTTTACAATTAAGGTAACTGTGACACAGTGGGGTTTAGGACTATCATCTTGCTGTTTGTTTTCTTTTTGCCCTATTTGTTCTTTGTCCCCTTTTCCTTTTTACTAATTGATTACTTTTTATGACTCCATGCTCTTTCTCTGCTTTCTTACTTTAGTGGTTGCTTTCAGACTTCTACTATACTTCTGTAACTTACCACAGCCTACCATCAAGTAATATTTTACCACTTCATGTAGAGTATAAAATACCCCCAGTAGCATCCTTCTTCTGATCCCCTCCTTGGCATTAATGCCATTGTTATGGTATTTTTTACTTAGAGATATATTATAAATCCCATAATACATTGCTATTAATTTTTTGGCATGCCTGGTAATCATTGAGACGGGACACTGCATTTCACCCTGTTGGGTGCTGGATCTTGATTTACCTTGTAAAGAGTTACAAGAAAATCAACTTCTGTGTTCTCTTACTAGTTGGTACTTCCGGTGCTCTCCATCTGTGTGGATGCAGATTGCCATCTGGTGTCATTTTCCTTGTATGTGAAGGACCTCACTGAAAATTTGTTTTAGTGGGCGTACTGCTGAAGAATTCTTTTGGTTTTTGTATTTCTGGAGATGTTTTTACTTTTTGTCTTTGTTTTTGAAGCATAGTGTTGCTGGGTATAGGATTCTAGGTGGACAGTTTTTCAGTCCTTCAGAAATGCTCTTTTAGGGGCGCCTGGGTGGCTCAGTCGGTTAAGCGTCTGCCTTCGGCTCAGGTCATGATCCCAGGACTCTGGGACTGAGCCCCGCATCGGGCTCCCTGCTCAGCGGGAAGCCTGCTTCTCCCTCTCCCTCTGCCCCTCCCCCTGCTCATTCTCTCTCTAATAAATAAATAAAATCTTTTTAAAAAAAAAAAAAAGGAAATGCTCTTTTACTGTCCTGTTGCTCACGTTATTTCACTGAGAAGCCCGCAACCACCCTTGGCTGTCCTCTCTACACGTCTTTATTTGCTGGCTGATCTTAAGAATTTCTCTTAGGGCACCTGGGTGGCTCAGTTGATTTCGCCTCAGCCCACGTCATGTTCCGCGCTCAGCATGGAGTCTGCTTGTTCCTCTCCCTCTGCTCCTCCCCTGCTCTACTAAAATAAATAAAATCTTTAAAAAAAAAAAAAAAGAATTTCTCCTTATTACAGTTTTGATCAATTTGGTTAATATGTGCCTTGGTTGCAATTTTTTTCATGTTCCTTGTGCTTAGGGTTGAGTTTCTTGTGAGTTTATATTTTTCATCAAATTTGGAAAACCCTTATAGCTATTATTTCTTCAAATACTTTTTCTGCCCCCCCCTTTTCCTTTGAGGACTTTAATTACATCTACATTAGACTTCTTAACGTTATCCCACAGCTCACTGGCACCATTTTCGTTTTTTAAAGTTATTTTTTCTCTTAGTGTTTTCATTTTAGTTTCTACTATTGTTTTCTCTTTTGAGTTCATTAATTTTTTCTTCTGCACATTCTTCTGAATGTTGAATCTACTGTTAACTTTTATCTGGTGTAACTGGGAACATTCATCCAAACATTCTGGTTTTTATGTCTAGAACTTTGTGTCGTCTTCGAATTTTTCATGCCTGTAACTTTTTGAACATATGAAATACAGTTCAAAACTTTTAATGTACTTACCTACTAATTCTAACATCTGTGTCAGTTCTGAGGGACTTCTTTTTTCTATCATGGGTCATGTTTTCCTGCTTCCTTTTTTTTTTTTTTAAAGATTTCATCCATTTTTTGACACAGCGAGAGAGGGAACACAAGCAGGGGGAGTGGGAGAGGGAGAGGCAGGCTCCCCGCCAAGCAGGGAGCCTGATGCGGGGCTCGATCCCAGGACCCTGGGACCGTGACCTGAGCCGAAGGCAGATGCTTAACGACTGAGCCACCCAGGCGCCCCTGCTTTCCTGCTTCTTGACATGCCTGATACCTCTGATTAGATGCTAGACATTTTTATCTTGCTGGGTGCCAGATATTTTTCTCTTCCTATTCTTGAGCTTTGTTCTGGGAAGCATTTAAGATACTTGGGAATGGTTTAGTCCTTTTAGGTCTTGCTTTTTTTTTAATTTTTAGGTCTGGAACAACGCTCAGTCTAGGGGTACTTTTTCGCCACTAGTGGGACAAGACCTTCCTCTGTATCCCACTCAGTGGCTCATGAGTTACAACATTTCCACCATGGTTGGTGGGAACAGACACTATTCCTTTCAAGCTTTAGCACAGGGTCAGTATACTTCTTCTGTAAAGGGGCAGATAGTAAACATTTTAGATGTGGCTAAATGAATAAACAAAGGATGTGGCTTTGTTCCAATAAAATTTTATTTACAAAACAGGTAGTAGGCCAGATTTAGAGTTTGCCAGTCCTTGCTACAGGATGCTTCTTCCCCAGCCTTCAGTAATTTCCTGGCTTATATGTGCTGATAAGTACCCTGCTGAATACTCCAGGGGGATCTCACCCTGTGGACAGCTCTCTCCCTGCTGGAAATCTGCACTAAGACCTCTAGCTGCCTTGGTCTCTCTGGGTTCAGCTTTACCTCCTCCACTTGAGGAGCCAAGTGGCCTCTGGGCCATGACCTAGAAACTCCAGTTGAGGCAGTTGTAGGGCTCAGCCTGTTTCCTGTGGTTACCTGATATCCAGTATCTTGAAATCCACTGTTTCCTGTTCTTTGGGTTTTCTGGTTTTTGGGGGGTTTTTTTTGGTTGTTTCAGGTGGAAGGTGCCCGTTCTAATCCCTATTATCCCACCTTGCCTGAAGGTGGGAGCCCCTTAGCTATTAAAATTAAATTAAACATTGTGTTCCATGGTTGCACTAGCCCACGATGCATGATAGAACATCCCCACAATCACAGGAAGTTCTACTGGACAGTGCTGGCTTAGAGACGCTTACCTCCTCCTCCCATGTTAATTCACAGCCAGGGTGCTTACAGAGGCTCACCTCTTGCAAAAGAGACAGGTGGGTGGCCAGGAGAACAGCGAGAACTTGGTTCGGCAGCAGCAACAAATCTGTAAGAAAAGGCCCAGATTAGTTAGTCCTGCCTGGTGAGGAAGCAGCCCAGGGTTCAGGTTGCCTGGCCTGCCCTCCACCCAGGGCTCCTGCCTGACGAGGGAGCAGCTGGGTGCAAGCCACCTCACCTTCCCCTTCCTTAGACTGCTGACGAGCTCCTTGTTCTGCAGGAACTTCTCCATCTCGGCCTTCACCAGCACACGGCGCACGTCCATCACCTCCTCCACAGTCAGAGCGAGGCTCTCCACAGGGTGGCTGAACTCCTGGGGACAAAAGGGGCAAGGGGTCAGTGCTCCTCAGGTCTTCGGGAATGAGGCCTTTCAGGATCCTGTCCACAAGGTCCTCTCTTCTCTAAGGACTCTGGAATCTTTGTGGTCTCAGCCTACCCAAGCCTAGCAACTTCCTAAAATACCCCATTCTTAGCTCATCTACCCCTGGGAGCCACACATGCTACTCAGGACTTCTCTGATGGGGTCGTGCAACCGCAAGCAAGGTTTCCTGTGACCTGGCCCCGCCCCCAGCCCACTCTTGACCACATCACCTTTAGCCGTCCCCACCTGTGTTCACAGTGCTCTCCAGACCTGAAATGTCTGCCTCCCACCTTGTTCCCCACCTGCAAACACACACCACAGCCAATCAAAACCAGCCAGGGTCCCCAGGCCCACCCCTTCTCCTCCGGGAACTCTTCACCACAGGGCGATCTCCTCGCCGGCAGCAGAAGGCCCCGGGCACCTCCTGCATGCTGCCCAGCTCAGTGCTCGCCAACCAGCGGGGCTCTGAGTCGGCCCGTCTGTGGGTGGCGTGTGTCCTACCTGCCACATCGCCTACCGCTTTGGGCCACCATGGTGAGTGTGCCTTGTTCAGCCCTCCCTCCAGGGAGGTCACTGTAGAGCTCGACCTCTCAAAGCCTCGGGGCCTCTCTGTCAAGTGGGGCTGCATTCCAGTTCCACTGAGAGAACACATACAGCCCTGAGCGCAATGCCTGGCACCCCAAATTTAACATTTAGCTACTGAGATGAGTCATGATGAGGGGCACCAGCCCGCGACGGTGCCGCAAAGGTGGGAGTCAGGATACTGCTTTTTGTTTCAGATTGCCAAGGGATTATCTTAGTGAGGGTAGTTGTCGGGAGAGTCTGAGAGACCGTGTTCTCATTCCAGCCTGAAGCATCAGGTCCTTTGGCTTCTGACCTTTGTTTCCAACAGCCTGAACCCTAACCTGTGACCCTTACACGTTACACTAACTGTACACATGGCCAAGAAGTCTCACGTCAGGGCAGACAGTCGCTGAGGTTATGTGATGTTTGATAGGCAAACCTCTCAGAAAGCACTCTCGAGAGCTGTGCTAAGAAGAATACACTTAGGGGATTTGTCATTTTAAGATATGTCCCCCCCCAAAATTAATTGATTAAAAGAATATATCGAGGCGCCTGGGTGGCTCCGTCGGTTAAGTGTCTGACTCTTGATCTCAGCTCAGGTCTCAATCTCAGGGTTGTGAGTTCAAGCCCCACGCTGGGCGTGGAGCCTACTTAAAATAAAAAAGAATATATACATGTCCTCCAATTAATTGACATCCCTTCAAGAAGCGAGCCTTCCTCTCTGCTGGCCGCCCGAGTTGCGTGGGGGCTCGCATGCACTCAAGACTCCGTTCCACCCATATCCCACCGCCGTGGCCGAGGAAGGCCCTGCTGCTGGTGGTGTACGGACATTAATACGGCTTCACAGGAGGGGCTGGGCCCGCCTCATCCACGATGGCCTAGCACGTGGGATTCACAAAGCTGCAACGCCTTAGACAAGTGCCAAACCCGTCTCCGTGCGTTTGCACCAACTGTGATGAGCCTGTGCGTGTCAAGCTGGTGGAGTGCTTTGTGCTGAGCACCAAGTCAACCTAATTAAGGCTGATGACAAGGAGAAACGAGGGGAAGGGATGGGCTCTGTAAAACCGACAGAGAAGAAAACCCCGTCAAGGGCTTGGTTGCAGTTGTGTGGTGGTTAAGGACTACGGGAAAGATCCTGCCAAGGATGCCATCGAGGAATACTTCAAATGCAAGAAATGAATAAGTAAAAAACTTGGTTCTGGTTCTTCACAGCCCCCCCAAAAAAGGGCGGGGGCCTTAATTCTCCTCCCCTGAGAACGTACTTAGTGACCCACTTGTAATGACGAGATTAGGGTGGAAATAACAAGGAGTGACTTCTGACGCTGGCTTCTGCCTTGGTGTCTCTCTCAGACCATGGAGCGCTGGGGGAAGCCCGCCACCCTGTCCTGAGGACACCCAGCCCTGGGGAGAGGGCCGCATGTGGAGGCCCCAAGGCCTCCCACCCACAGCCACACAAGGAGCCACATTCCAGTGCAACCTCCGGGGAGGCCTGAGCCAGGCTGCCCAGCTGAGCCACTTCTGGATTCCTGACCTCGGACACTGTGAGATAATAAAAGTTTGTGGTTTACACTTTTAAGTTTTGGGGTAATCTTTAATGCAGTGGTAACACAGGACTTGGTTGGGGAGTATCAGTAGTAATACTACCTTACGTTTATATGGCACTTTTCAAAGTTAACATCTGTTCTCATGTGAGCCTCTTGACAAAACTGCAAGGAAAGGGTGATGTACAACACCCTGGACATGCGGGCTCTTCACCACTGTAATCCCTTTGATAAAATCCTACACTAAGGCTGAGGAAGCCCAGGTGCAGGGCTAAGGGGTGTAGTGGCAAAGTAAAAGTCTTGACCCTATAAAATGCCGTCACATCTCACTGCCTTCAGGCACAGGGCTCCAGTTTCTCACCTGTCTTAACCCTCACCAAGATGGAAGTAAGAACTTCAGATGTCCCCTGTCCCCTTAGGAAGGCCTTGTTCTGGCCAGGGGGCTGCTGTGCCCAGAAGGTGGCGGCAGAAACCAGATGTGGCGGCTCCAGAGCAGACCTAGCGACACCCTCGAAGGAGTGGGGCGGGGGGTGCCTCCTGCTGGGCCTTGTTCTGCGGAGACGTGAGGCTAAGGGCCCAAGAGACGCCGCACCCACTTACTGTGGACAACTAGGCCTCTGTCACTCACCAGCCACAGGTGATGGGTGTCTGGGGCTGCAGAAGCCTCTGGCTGGTCCTCTGCTGAGCCCAGGTCACTGTGTGGTAGGGAGCTGGGGTCAGGCTGGGCCTGGACGCTCACCGGGAAGGGACCTGGAGTAAGAGCACAGAAGCCCTGTCCAGACAACCTGGCAGAAACTGGTGTGGGAGGGCTGTGCCCGGGGGTGAGGGAGACAGCTGGCCTGGCAGTAGGGGTCTTGGGGGGCGTCATCAAGCACAAGGACACATAGAGAGCATGTGAACCACACCGGGGGCATGTCAGTGCAGCAGGCCCAAGGGACCCCTATAGGGGCCCCATATCGGATCCTTGTTAACGAACCAACGTTAGGAGTCCCATGGCAGCCAACAGGGAAAGCAGGTAGCACGAGTCCTGCGGGAAGCCTGCCTCCCCCATTAGTGCTGCTCACTGCTCTAAACGCAGACAGGGATGGAGGAGAAAGGCAGATTCACCTCCACCACGGGGTCCCTGAGACTTGAGGATAGTTGTGGGAGACGGTGAGGTATGGAATTGGCCTGGCCTGGACCTCTTCACTCCAGGAAGTGAATCAGCTACCAAATGGCACCACCCTGAGAGTGGCAAGAGAGCAAGAGGGTGGTTCAAGGTAACCTTGAGAGCAGAGAAGGTGGCCTGGCCATGTGTGCTAGAAGCAGTGAGTGAGGCGGAGGGGACAACCCCATGTCCTGTCAGCACTTTGGGGAGCACAGCCCTTGCAACAGTGGGACTAACTATCCCTGTGTGGCCAGTAGGATTGTTTTGACCTCTCTGCTGAACAACAGGGAAAGAAGGTGACGATAAGTCAGGTTCTAGAGTGGTGTGTGCTGCATGGCCCATCCGGTTCATTGCAGACACCTTTTCACTGACAGAAAAAAAAAGACTAGAAAGATCTATCAGTCATCTATCCATCCATCCATTTGTCTATCCACCTGCCTATCCATCCATCATCCATCCATCCATCTGCCCATCATCTATCTATCCACTCACCCATTATCCATCCATCATCCTTCCATTATCCATCCATCACCCATCCATCATCCATGTTTCCATCTATCCTATCATCCATCCATCAATCATCCACCCATCTGCCCATAATCCATCCATCTATCCTATCATCCCTCTATCCATCTTCGACCCGTCATCCATCCATCATCATCCATTATCCATGTCATCCATCCACCCACCTATCTACCCATAATCCATCTATCCATCCATCATCATCCATCCAATCATGCATCATCCATCTATCCTTCCATTATCTGTCATTTATCCACCCATCATCCATCCATATACATCCATCATCTGTCTATTCATCCTCCATCCATCCAGTTTTCTTTTCATACACCAATATATTAATAGTAACTATCTCTAGATATTAGAATCAGGGAAATGTTTTAAAGTTTTTAAAAAGTGTTTTACAAAAAATGTGGATTACTAATTTTATAAGAAAGTTTTCAAGTTAAAAAAGTGGAGAATGCCTGCCTGAGGCAATGAGGTAAGTCTGGGCTTGAACTTTAAACACCTTCTTACAGATAGGAGCTTCCTGTGGCCTCTGAGCGCTGCCTGCTCAGGACGACAGCAGGACCCAAGGCAGGACGTGATGCCCACAGGACAGTGTCAAGGGAGAAGGGGGTGAGAGTCCCCACTTGCCTTGCTCCTGGGCGCTTGGCCTCCAAGTGTGCATGCTGCCTGCACGGGGCCGGGATGATTCCAACCCTCCTTGGGGCTGAGTGGCTGGCTGCAGGCTAGAGGCCACTTCACTCCGGAGCTGGATCAGATCATGCTCTGAGAAAGAGCGGTCCCGCTTCAGTGTCACCTCCCCACATGGAGACTCTTCCTCCTGTGGACACAGCAGACTCAGCCCTGACCACTCTGCCCGCCAACACCAGCACCTCCTGCCTGTCCCTGGACTGGCAGGGGACCGCTGCTGGGCCCACTAAGGCCACCCAGGGTCACCTCTGCTTACTGCCCAGCCTCACTATCCTCTATACAGTGGAAACAAGTGTCTCAAAAAAACAAACCCTTCCCTGAGGCCTGTGGGAAGTCCTGGAGATGATCGGTCTGGTGTCTGGGGCAGCCCACTGAGATCGCTACCACCCCTGGTTTCCTTGGGCTCAGAGGGCAGTGAGGACATGATGTCCCCATCGAGTGTCCCACTCAGTGTCACAGTGAGACCCACTGGCTTTTCACATCAGCCAGGAGGCTGCTTAGCTTCCCAGCCCCAAGATGATGGAGTACGTACATTCCAGCCCTTTTGTGCTATGGGAAGAGGTGGCCCAAGGCCTCCTCCCTGGTGGGCTCTGACCTCAGATGTGTTCATCTCCTCCATCTCAGCCAAGGTGGGTGCCTTGAGCAGGACCCGGGGCCGTGGGCGCTGCGTGTTGTTCCCGGCATCCGTGATGGACAGGTTGATGCAAGAAGTGGATTTGGTGTCCCCTGAACAGGCATTGAGAATGCAGGGCAGAGAGCCAAACCCTGGTGGAGGCGGGGAGGTGGGGCAGGACAGGAGAGTGAGGGGGTGGGGACAGAGGGGGAGGGAGCAGGGAAGGAGGGAAGGGGGGAAGGGGGGTGTCCCATGCTCACCCCGGCCACCCCAGTGCTCGCCCCCCACCGGGCGCAGCCTCCGCTCCTGCTTGATCTCCTCCAGGATCTTCTCGTGCAGGGTTCTCTGCTTTTGCGGTAAGGGGCGAAGCCTTCTCTCGGAGACCTGGGGGGAGTATGGCAGCTCCAGGAAGGAAAGGCAGTGGGGCTGTGACACAGACATACTGGAGTGGGGAGGAACCCTGATGACACAGCCAGGCCTATCAGGAGCCGGCACAGCAGGGGGCAGACGGGAGGTGCCCTGTGTGCTCCCGGGGCAGGTCCATCTCAGAATCAACCTCTCAGCCCCCTCCCTCAGTGGAGGTGCCATTCCGCCCTTGAGGAGGGAAGGCCAAGGGGGGGGGGCCTGCACAGCTGGTACCTGTTTCAGTGGAGGCCGGGAGCGGATGAAGTCTAGGATGAGTTCATGGGCATCCTTCTTCACCCGGGGAGGGATGTCTCCATCGACCTGTGGGGTTGGTACGCACACAGTAGCTGGGCTGTGGGAGGACTCACTCAGCCCTGAGCAGGACCTGGTCCTCACGCCACCCTCATGGGCTGCATGGCGGGCACAAGGGCTGCCGCTGGGACCACCACTAACTTCCCTACATCTCAGATTCTTTGTGTGGGAATGAAGGTCAGGGGCACCCCTGTCACCCAGCTGTCCTAAGAATGAAATGAACTGGGACGCCTGGTTGGCTCAGTCAGTTAAGCGTCTGCCTTCGGCTCAGATCATGATCCCAGGGTCCTGGGATCGAGTCCCGCATCGGGCTCCCTGCTCCGCGGGGAGACTGCTTCTCCCTCTGCGTCTGTCTCTCTCTCTGTCTCTCATGAATAAATAAATAAAATCTTTAAAAAAAAAAAAAAGAATGAAATGAACTCCACATTTAAAATTTGCAGAGTGAAGCCAGAACACAGCAAGAGTTATGTGAGCATGAAATGGGACAATCCCATCATCTCAGCTGCTGCTGCTGGTCCTCCAGAATCCTCCACTCGTCCCTTCTCCCTGTCCTTGTCACACTGTATCCCCAACATCCCACTGTGTCCCACCATGTCCCTAATGTCACACTGTGTCCCTGTCCTTGTCACACCATGCCCCATCATGCTGTGTCCCCGATGTCATGCCATGTCCCCAACATCACACCGTGTCGCCGACGTCACATTGTGCCCACCGTGTCCCTGGCATCACGTGTCCCTATCCTGTCACACCATGTCCCCAGCATCACATCATGCCACATCGCGTCCCCAGTGTCACACTGTGTCCCCATCACCCCATGCCCCACTGTGTCCCTGATGTCACACTGTGTTCCTGTCTTTGTCACACCGTACCTGACATCATGCTGTGTCCCTGTCCTTGTCACACCGTGTCCCTGACATCACACCATTATACCATGTCCCTGATGTCACACTGTGTCAGTGTCCCCAACGTCACAGTGTCCCTGTCCTTGTCAGTGTCCCCGAAGTCACACCGTGTCCCTGATGTCACACCATGTCCCTGACGTCATGCTGTGTCCCTGTCCTTGTCACACTGTGTCCCTGTCCTTGTTGCACCGTGTCCTCATCAGACCATATCCCCGTCACGCTGTGTCCCTGATGTCACGCTGTGTCCCTGTCCTTGTCACACCATGTCCCAGATGTCACACTGTGTCACACCGGGTCCCTGATATCACACTGTGTCCCCGATATCACACCCTGTCACACCGTGTCCCCGACGTCACACCGTGTCAGGTGTGAGCCAGGTGAGTCAGGGCCACATCTGCCCATGCACATCTGAATACCCAGCTCAGGAGCCAGCACACAGAGCAGGGGCTCCAGAGCCACCGGTGGGCAGAAGGCTCGGGGGTAGGCTCCTCTCCCCCACCAGCTCACCATGACCTTGCGTAGTTTGTAGTTCCTGGCGCGGATGTCCTGCATCAGCATCTCGAAGGGGGTAAGCTGGAACTCAGTGGGCAAGGGGTTGAATTCCTGCTCCTGCACCTTCTTGAGCTTCACCCCATGGCGGAGCTCCCTCATGAGTTGCACCCAGAGTCGGGCCTGGGCCCCCGAGAAGATGAAAATGGCCCTTAGACCCAGCGGGGCTCCCAGAGGCCTGGCACAGACCCCAGGTGGGGGGGCCGAGCCCTGTGTCCCAGGGCTGGAGGAGAGCCATAGCTTACCCAGTCCGTGTGTCCCAGGTTGTCAAGCTCTGCCAGGGGCTTCTCTGCCTGCAGCTCATCCTCCCGAAGCTTCTGCAGCATCTGTTAGTCCAGGAGAAGGTGAAAGAGTGGTCGTCATGGGGATATGGGCCCTACCGGTCTGTCCATCTGGGGACAGTCCCTTAACACGTGGGCTAGTATTCCACCAGCTAAAAAAGGGATGAGTGGGCATTTTTGGCCAAGGCTTTGGGTTCAGAAAGATCGAGAGAAACAAAGCTGTTAGCTGTGGAACCACGTGGGACACTTGGTGTCCCATCAGCTATCTCTGGAAGCTCCTCCTGGGCAAGGGCAGAAGTGAGAACATAACACCCACCTAGCACCCATATAGAACTTCTGGTTCTCTCTCTTCTCTTGGCTGATCCACATGGCCCAGAGAGCAATGTGTCCTTCAGAGGGAGCAGATGCAGGGGAAACCCTGCTTTCTGTCATCTGTGAAGAGCTCCCAGTCTTCCTTCAGATCTAGCTCTCAGGGCGCTTCCTCAGGAACACCTTAGCCTCTTTGCCCAGGCAACATGCACACCCTGCTCTTGGAAAACCCATGGCTGCTTCTTGACACATGATCCCCACTGGAGTTTTATGGTTATCTGCTTCTTTGAGTGTTGTCTGGACCACTGGCTCCAGAGGCCAGAACCACATTTATGTTTCTGTTTTCTGACCTTAGTATTCCTGGTTCATAGCACAACATTACAGATGCTAGGTTGTAAACAGTGGTTGGATAAATGAATAAATGGACGGATGCATGGGTGGGTGGGTGAGTGGATGGAGGAATGGTGGATGGATGGGTGGATGGAGGAATGGGGGATGGATGGGTGGATGGAGGAATGGTAGATGGGTGGATGGGTGGGTGGATGGATGGATGGGTGGATGGAGGAATGGTGGATGGATGGGTGGATGGAGGAATGGTAGATGGGTGGATAGATGGGTGGATGGAGGAATGGTGGATGGATGGGTGGATGGATGGAGGAATGGTGGATGGATGGAGGAAGGGTAGATGGGTGGATGGATGGGTGGATGGAGGAATGGTGGATGGATGGGTGGATGGATGGAGGAATGGTGGATGGATGGATGGATGGATGGATGGGTGGATGGATGGATGGGTGGATGGGTGGATGGATGGAGGAATGGTGGATGGATGGATGGGTGGGTGGGTGGTTGGGTGGATGGATGGGTGGATGGATGGATGGGTGGATGGAGGAATGGTGGATGGATGGGTGGATGGAGGAATGGTGGATGGATGGGTGGATAGGAGAATGGATGAGTAGACAGATGGGTAATAGGAGGAGTCACTCAGCAAGTCCTGGGAAAGAGACACAGGTTCGTATTTTATCAAGTAGAGAAAATGCCACCATCACGGTGAGGGCCAAAGAAGAACATGAAGGATTGTTAGGTACTGTTCTTTGCTGAGAATTTGGGAAGAAGCTGCTAGATTAACTGCCTTCATTGTCCTGGATCTTGGCAGCAGCTGGAGACTCTGTTCCCACCAACTCTCCTACCCTGGAGAAGCATTGAACCTTTAGCACACAGCTCCCACCTCACTGCCCCCGCCCCACCCACTAAGACAGAACCGGTTACCCTGGCTTTCATCCCAAGCTACCTGCTAAGCTAGAGCTACCCGCTCTAGAAAATGCTGTCAAGTCTCAGAGTAGCACATGGTGTGTGATCTGGCTGATTCTAAAAATAGACCTGTGTGTGATCTGGCAGTTCCTGTGGGCAAAGGGCATGAAGGGTGGGTCTCCCATCCCTCCTGGACTTTCTATACCTGTCCCTGAACAGGGTGTTTCTTCCTAAAATGCCAGCCCAGATGTGTCCCACCAACAGACACTCTTCTTTCTCCCCGTTACTACCAATTCCCTGAACGTCTCTTGGGTCAATTACTTGGAAGTCTAGAGTTGTTTGCTCCTGCTAAAGAAAGTGCTTCCATTGTCTGCATAAGGAACTGATCTTAGCAACAGAACAGATGACTTCAGAGCAAGAAAAACAGAAGCATTAAGACCATCCACCAATTAAAACATTAGAAGCACATCTCTAAGATGTCAAGGAGGAGTGGGGTTTGGGGGGGCAGGGGGGCAGGGAGTGGGCAGAGGAACCACCCACCCTTGGGCTATCAGCTGGGCTGCAGGTAAGGGCCCAGCGGCTCAGGCAGTGTCGCCGACTTGCCCTGAGCTGGGAACCCGGCCCCGTCAATCAGAGCAATCCTGAGAATCTCCTCAGGCCCACGAGTTCAGGGAAGCTGGTCCAGGGATGAGCATCAGTCCATTCCAAACAACACCTTCTGCCATTTAAGCAAGAGTGGGTGGAGCAAATTCCCCTGCCCTCTGCGAAGTCTGCATTCTCTCATCTGTGACTGCTGATGGGAGGCAGGAGTCCCTGTGCCCAGACCCCTGCTTCAGGGAAGTGTGCCAGTTCCCTCCAAGGGAGGAGATGGGAGAATTGAAGGAAGATAGTCAGCTAGTAATTCTGGGACCACCCAGGGAGACACCAGCTCTGCCTGGACTAGCTTTGACTTGGGGCAAGCGACAGCTTTCAGAGCCTCCATTTGCTTAGCTGTGAAAAGAGTGGTGGGGGGCCACCGGCACTGGATTTCCCACCTCCCCAAAAGTCCAAGCACAGTGAGTACACGCATGCACGAACTAGTGCAAGTGGTTCCCAGAAGGAACCAGCACGGGGAGAGGACAGCCAGGCCTCGCTGGACACATGAACATGAGGATCTGGGAGGCTACAGGAAGGAGGTCCTGGGGCCGAGAGGCTGAGAGACGGCTACTTAATGTCTCTGAACCATAGCTCCTTCCTGTGCAAAATCCAGCTTAGGGTCAAGGGAAAACCGGCAAAGCATCTGAGACGGAGCTGCCCCGAGTGCAGACAGCAAGGTAGGCCATTCAGAGCCCTGAGCTGAGGATTTCCACTTCCTACTGGAGAGACAGAGGGACCAACGCGTGGGGAGGTGGGAGGTACGGGGCAGGAAAGACGGCCAGGAAGGTATCTTGGGGGCCTCTTCCCGTTCCCCTGTGATCCCTCCCACTTGCTTACCACCTGGGCATACCACCCCCTCATGCCCTGCTCCGCCTCGGCCCACCTCTCCCTTCCTTGGCTTCCAGGAAGCTCCCTCCACGTCCTCAGCCCCTCCTTGACACATCCTCGCCTGCTCACCTCCTTGGCCTCACGGACCCTGACGAGGAAGGCCCGCAGCTCCAGTGTCTCCACGAAGAGCGCCCGGCACACGGCCTGGTAGTGGGCCTGCGCGCCCCGGGGGTCGGTCAGGCGGGCCGCGCAGAGCCGCATGGCCTGGGCAAAGGTGCGCACAGCGCGAGGGCCGCCCTCGGCCTCCTCTTCCTCCTCCGGGCCCCCATAGCCCTCATCGGCAGCCCCACAGCTGCTGTCCTCACAGTCATTGTTGGCCATGAGGTCGATGAGCCGCTCCAGCTGCGGGCTGAGCTCTCTCTCCTCGCTGTCGTCCAGACCCCAGTCCAGCGCACGGTAAATGGCAAAGCCCAGTGACTGCACCATCTGCAGGACAGGGGCCCAGAGTGTCATGGGGAAGGGGGGAAAGGGGGCAACCTGCAAAGGACCCAGCCAGGAGAGGAACAGCCGCCCCATGAATTACAAGACAACCTCCCCGAGATGAGAGCAAGCTGCCCATCCAGAGGGCGTATATTGTGAGACAACCAAACATGTCACGGAATGGACAAGATGCTTTCCAAACAGCACGACCACCGTGGAAAACAGTTCCTATTGGAACTGTTTTGGAAACTATTGGAACCGTGGAAAACTTCCTGGCAAGTTCCTATGGTCAAACATGCTTTCACCACATGAAGAGAGGGCAACTCCTCTCCCGAGTATCTAACCAACAAAAAAGAAAGACATACAACCGCACAGGACTTGACCTGGAATGCCCATAGTGCCCAAACCTGGAATGTCCAAATGTCTTCAACTGGTAGATGATAAACAAAGGGGACCCATCCTTACCGTGGGATACCAGGCAGCAGGGCAAAGGGTCAAACTCATGCACTCCTCTTACACACACAGTGAACACAGAGCAACGAAGCCAAAGTGCATGTTTCTGTTTATCTAAAACTCTTGGCAAGACAAAGCTAATCTACAGCCATAAAAAGAAGGTCACGGGCGCCTGGGTGGCTCAGTTGGTGATGCGACTGCCTTCGGCTCAGGTCATGATCCTGGAGTCCCTGGATCGAGTCCGCATCGGGCTCCCTGCTCGGCAGGGAGTCTGCTTCTCCCTCTGACCCTCCCCCATCTCATGTGCTCTCTCTCATTCTCTCTCTCTCAAATAAATAAATAAAATCTTTAAAAAAAAAAAAAGAAGGTCAGTGGGTAAAAGCTGGGGGTTGAGGCAGAGATTGGAAGGAGCACAGGAGCTCACTGAATATAAAGCGTATCCCAATAAATGTGATTTAAAAAGACAGACAACTGAATTAAACGTTAGCTTTTAATGTCATGTAAGAGCGTATTTTAAATCAGAGGAGAAAGACTAGCATGTTGCAATCGTTAACTACATAGGATAGAGTGCAGACGCCTGAACTCCTAAGAAATGACATCCTCTCCCTTAAAAATATTTTAAACTCCATGTAAATTTCAACATATGTAAATTTAATCTGAAAAAGAAAAAGGAGCGGCACCTGAGTGGGGGCGGGGAGTGGGTGGGGTCCCCAGGGTCACAGTGGCTGATGGAGCCCAGCCAGGCACGGGGCCTACAATGCTGTCATTTACTTTACCTATGCTTGAAATTCTCCATGAGCACTTCTTTTAAAAGCGTATTAGCTTATTAAAACTCCGAGTTTGGCAATAGAGAGACCTCTTAACTCAGCATTTCTCAACTTTAGTTGGCAGAGAACCCTATTTTCATGGACTGCCATTAACAACTGGGGAGCCCGCGTTCTCCAGAGGACGTCTGCGAAATACCGCGGCTCCGCTCGTGTATCTGCCTAAGTGCCATCGGCGTCTGACGTGCCCTGCTCGCAGGAATGCAGTCCTGAGAAGGTCAGGGAAGAGGCTCGTGCAGGGAGCAGAGGGGTAAGGACAAGCACGTGGACTCTGCTTCTAGCTTGCTCGGCTTTCACATTTCGACATTTCCCCTTTATGTCAACGATACAAAATGACGGTAGCTCTTCTCACGTCATCAACTGCTCTGAGCCCTTTGCCAGTAACTGCAGGACTGCCCAACCCCAGGGCTAACCTCTGGATTCCAGGCAGAGGAGGAGGCAAAGCCGAAGGTCACCAGACCACAGCTGCCAGCGGCAGGGCCGACTCGGGACCTGGGTCCGCCCACAGCCTGTGCTCTAAGCCGTGTGCCGAGGTGGGAGGCCACTGCGTGGAGGATGGAACCACACCCTCACCTTCCACCCCCAAGTCCGCCTGGCCTGGGGGATGGGGCAAGCCCCTGGTCTCTCCCCTCATTTCCTACAGCGGCAGCCCAGGGGGACTAGCCTGAGCAGAGCTGAAGGAGGATACGGAGAAAGTCAGTGCTGGGCAGGGGACAGGCGCAAAGACAGCCTTCTCTATCCTGCAGAAACGCCTTACAACACACCCTGAGCCTGGAGGGGGCCAGCGCGGGGAGAGGGGTGGGCCTGGTAAAAAGGGCAAGGCTCTAACAGAGCGAAGTTCCAGCCTGGAGTCAACAAAACCCCAGTCCACCCTTGGAGGCGGTCTTATCTCTGCTTTAGGCAGGCAAGGGTCACAACCCCAAATCATGAGTCAGAGGGCACAGGGCCAGGTGGAGTCCCCTGTGGCAGTGGGATCCCCATCAGGGCTACTGGGCTGGCAAGAACCACGGTCCACACAAATTCCCACTGATTCTTCCGTGGCCCAGAGGCAGATGCTAGGAAGGAGATGGTGGGAGAGGCTCGTGCCCACTCTCTAGTCCACAGCCACTGCTGACCCAGGGGCGCTCTGCCCTGGTCTCTCCATGGAGACCACTCTGCCGCATGGGGCAGGGCAGACAAAGGGGCCCAGAAGGCCAGCACATCACAGAGCGGCACCCCAATCCACCCACGCCTCTCCCTCTCCCTCCTGGTAGCTGCCTAAGCTAGCACCGCATTGGTGAAAGGGTTAACTCCAACAGGAGCCTCTTATCTGATGGCTGCTCGGTTAAAAGCTTCTCTGTGCTCCAGCCCAGACATTGGAAACTCCCTGAAAGGCAAAGAGCCCTTGCTTTCCCATCAGGAAAAATCTGGGCAGCCAGCCAGTCTCAGAACCTCCAGCCCTACCTGCCCACAGCGTTTCGGGAACTGAACAGGCTCACAGTAGCCCAGCTTGGGGGTCAGCCTGCTAGCTGAAGGGCCTCCGGGAGAAGGGGCTGAGACTGCAGGACGTGGTCAGCGAGGGGCCGGCAGCAAGAATCCGGGTTAGCACGACAAGTGGCCTCCTACCACAGTTCCTGGGGTGGGGCTCTGGGCACAAGAGTCCAGATTGGACCCCCACAAACAAAGCTCCTTAAAAATACTTTCAGAATTGCTAACAGGCCTCCTTTGGAATGGTAGGTGGTGGACGCACGTTCACTTGGGGACTCTTCAGACTCACTGTCTGAAAGGCAGGGGAACGTTCCTGGGCTTTGGGTAAACAAAGTATCCAGAGTACTCTGCCAGCAATGGAAATGAGTCTTGAAAACAAGACTGTTCTTTTTTCCCCCAAAGCAAATTACGGAAACCAATATATGGCAATAGGACCAGCACCCAGCTCTGCACAATCGTAGGCAGGGTGCTGCTGGGAAGGGTACCTTATCACTGACATTAGCGAGAACTGCCAGCATGTGGTAATAAGAAAACGCAGAAAAACTGTGGGATGATTTTATTATTGTTTTTTAATTCTCCACAACAGACACTATGGCCTGTGACCAGCCCACTACCCTTGGCATAACGCTGTGTTTAATAAATAAATACATACTTGCATAAAGCTTTCTTAAAGGCAGTGGAATGATCAACATTAAATTCAGGACAAATTCCCGGGGGCAGATGGATGGGACAGGGAGACACAGGTCCTACTGGTGAGATTTGAATTGCGGGTGACGTGGGGACTCGTGGACATCGGTCACCGGCTGGCTTTCCTGTTTGCCCGTCAGCCCCACTCCCTGACTGATGCTTTGCGCCCGGGGGGGCCAACCCCACAGACCATGTCACCTTTGCTCCCTCCCTCTGGTCAGTGGGAGGCAACACCAGGAGCTTGGGGGCGGCAGAGGAGAAGGAGGTGGGGAGCCATCGCAACCCCCCCCGCCCCCGCCTTCAGCTCTCCAAGGCCTGCCAGGTTCTGCACACCCCGGTGGGCTCTCTGTCCTCACCTGCCCACTCTCTTCATCACGTCCTTTCAACTAAGCCCTTTGACTATGTTATCTGTGTCCTAACTTGTGGAAACAATGGTGTAACTTTATATGCTTTTTAATTGACATGACATGACACATACTAGTTTTAATGTGTATCAAGTAAACTTAAAAATTATTTTAAAGGTACCTGGGCTTCTGAGCTGGTTGGTGACAACACCATCGTTGTGGACTCTGCAAGAGGAGATAACAGGCAGTCAAGACATACCTCAGCAGCCTCAGGCCCTGGCAAATAGGGCCACCCATCTACCTCCCCTCTCAGGAACACACAGCGTATCCCCCAAAGGCTCCAGTGGAACACCAGAAAGCTTAGACAGGTCGACCTGCCAGTCACTTGGATGGACATCCAGGTGCAATGCCAGGAGACTGATGCAGCACCTGCCCACACCCCACACAGCAGTCACACCCCACAGTGACCACTCGGGGGGTCCCCTGGGGAAGCATGGTTGGTGCTAGAGTAAAGAGGGAATAAGGAACGAGCAGGTCAGTTAAGTCTTGTCCGCAGGAAAGCCCTCATGGTCTGTAATTCACAGCCTGAAGCCATGTGCCCCCAAATCACAGCAGAGTCAAATGAGAAACCCAGGCTCAAAGGCAACCACAGATTCTGCTCTGGAGTTCCCAAGAGCTGAGCTGGGAAAGTCAGCATCTGGCCACCACCTGTAGATTCGGACATCTGCCCCCAGACTGCCAGAGCCTCCATCAGAGAATCAGAGTCTCTGGGTTGAAGCCCAGGTGCTAAATTAGGTACGAGGCATTTTATTATGTTTGTTAGTAAACATGGTACTGAATTAACATGTTCGTAAGTGCTCACTCGTTGTAACCCATATACAACCCAGAAGGTAGGTGGTTTTGCTACCCATTTCACAGACGAAGAAACAGGTATCACAGCTAGTAAGTGGTGGTGCCAGGTGAGGCCAGGCCAGGGGACCCTAGAATCTGCTCCAGCTGCTCCCCACACCACCCCCCAGGTCTGCCAAGCTGCCAGGCTGCAGGAGACCAGGAGACCCACTATTGCTAACCCTTCCTTGAATTAAGCATGCAGCTAGGACCTCTGCTAGGGGGTGAACTTGACTTGCCTTAACTTCTTTTTGGAACGAGGTAGGTATAAAAAAAACATAAAACATGACATCTCTGCTAAGTGAACCTGCTAACTCTGCAAATATTTCCAAAATGCCATTAAGAGCTAGGGAGATTGCCAAAGATAAAGGGCGTTTGTGTTGGGCTGATCCATTAAAATAATGGAAAACAATCCACTCCCAACATCAGTGAAGCTGAAAGGGGGCAGCAAGTGGTAGCCTGTGGCCCGTGTTCAATCAAAGTTTGCAGCGGATGCATCGAGGCAACGGGAAGAAGAAACCAGACTCAGGACAAAGGTGCTCCCTGGAAGCGGCCAGTGTCCTGAGTTATCCTGAGGACCGAGAAGCCAGCCTGCAGTGCCCTTTATCGACTGAGCACCATGCAGTGCTCTGGTCAGGGCAAAGCCTGCTGGCTGGAATCATGTTAATGCCTATGTCCCTGGTTTAAATAGTCCATATGTTAACAAAAATAAGTGTTCATTAATCTAACTGTATTTTAAGTTGCAAGGGCTTGGGGAGTCTTTGGGTTTTGAGGAGCAAGCTGCCCCTTGTGGGCAGAAACTGTGCCCAGCTCTTTGCTACAAAACTAACAAATGACTTATTATGGGTTCAACCTACAATCACCTCATGCAAGTGGTTACTGATGACTTCCTCTTTGTAGACAAGGAAACTGAGGCTCTGGCAGGTGGAGAAAATAACACAAAACCACACAGCCCATCAGTGACGGAGCCGGGGCCCCCAGCAAGCCCGCTGACCCACCCAGAGCCTCTCGGCTTAACTTCCTGCAGCTACAGTAACCTGCTTGCCAGGGGCGGGGTGTCCCAGAGCATTGTGCAAACTACCTTCTGTGTACTTAAAAAACTGTCTTGGAGCGAAAGCAGAGAGACCCAAACAGAAGCGGATGGAGGCAGCTTGGACAGAAGCATTCTCACTAGGCCATCAGGTCACATTGAGGTGGGGCTGCAAGCAGGACACCCGGTCTCCGGGATGCTGCCCCTCCACGGGGGGCTTCTCTCTGCCTGCAAGGAAGAACATCCTTGCCAGGATGTACTGGGAAAGAAAAGTCACTGTGATGTCTTGTGCATAAGATAACAAATGAGGAGAAATCAAGATGCTAGGAAGTTTCCTTGGAAATGATCCTGTGTCCTGGTAGTAAAAGATCAAAGACGATCTGGAGGACCTTGCAGGCCGGAGCTCCCGCAGGAAGTGCTTCTCCCTGCCCAGCAGGTGGGGAGGGTGGTAGGCGGAGAGCTCTCGGACAGCCTCACCCCTCTGTGCCTGGGTGGGGAGCACAGAGAAGGAGGAGTGTAGTTCAGATCCCTACCTGCCTGTGGTCATGACCTTGAGGGTCTTGCGTCTCTGGCCTCCTTTTCTCACCCACAGATGGAGATTACGCCCGCCTAAGCTAACCACCTCAAAGGACAAGTGAGGGAGCGGATGCAGACACTTCTTAGGGCACGGTATCCTGTGAGGATGTGGACAGCCGTGATCACCATGATGACGACGGCAATGGGGCCACCAGGACCTCCCGACTACGCTCAGACCACAGGCACTGTGACTCTCTTTAGGCTTGGGGGTCAGGACAGAGAATGGCCATGGAAGAGCCAAGGAGTCCCCTCTTCAGCCTCCCAGAAGGAGACCACGCACATGTGGGGGGCACTGGCTACCCTAGGCTCCCCCAGGTCCTTAATTACCAACAAGGAATGCAGACCACAAAGGGTGGGGTCCTGGCTTGAGCCCCGGGGCTCCTGCCTTTCTACATCTCAGGCTGAATTCTCAGGAACACCCATGTGGCTCAACAGCGGGGTGGACAGACCGAGGCCCTTGCGGGGCCCCCACTCAGTGCTGGCGGGAAATGGCAACAACCCCAAGGAAGGCAACCTGCAACGCCTATCAAAATGACACCCCTGCTTGTCTTGATTCAGCAGGTCTGCTTAGGTGTGCCCGCGTGGCATGACCGCCGAGACCACGCACGGAGGTGCCCTTCCTAACAGTGACCTGCCAGACACGCATATACCCACTGAAGTTACATGCGGACATCCGCACACGGTGCACTGGGCAGCCCCTCGAGGGAGGTGTCCTCTGTAACGAGACAGTCGGAGCTCCTCAGTAAGGGGAGAACAGAGGGCAGCCCCCGCCATGCCGGTATACAGAAAACACATACACTAAGCTCCTCCTCGTGTGAGAAGCCTGGCAGGAGACTCCAGCTGTTTCCCTCTACACTTTCTGAATCTGGAACGTGTAGTATGGCATCGAGAAATCAGCTTACGGGAGAGTGTGAGAGTGAGCAAGCACGCAGCATCCACTGGCCCTCCTTCAGTCCCGGGCACACAGACTTAGAAGCAACGCGATGACTTCCCAAGCCTCCTTGGAGTCCTCTGACAGAACGGTATCCCCTACCACCCAGGTGACTGTAAAGATTCAACAGACAGGGGCACCCAGCTGGAGCCAGCTGTAGGGCATGCGACGCATGATCTCAGGTTTGTGAGTTCAAGCCCCATGTTGTAGGGGGCACAGCTGACTTAAAAATAAATTTTTTAGAAAAACCCCAAAACGAAAACCATGTAGTATCTGGCACCTACTAAACGCTTCAATAAATGCTTGTTTCATTGTCAAGAAGCAATTTCAAAACTTAAGTAATGTCTTCGCTCAAGCATCGGTCTCTAGAAAGGAGCCGGTGGCAAACCCAAGCGAAGAGGGAAATGCCTGCTCACAGCTGGGGAGTTGTGTGTGTGTTCAGCAAACAGAGCTCTGTGGGGTGGGGGCCCCCGGTGTGTGTGGCGTGATCCTCCTCCATCTCACTTCCACCCATCTCCACAGGCTACGGCTGACGTCAAGCTGCTTCTCCATAAACTCAGTAGTCACCCGCAGGGTGCGGCTTCCTCCCCTGCAAGAGCCTAGGACCACCATGACTCACATCGGTTCCGGGGGGACCCGAGTCGAGGAAATGTGTGTTGGCCAGAGGGCTCCCCTTACTCCAAGCAATCATGCTGTTAACTGTCCACCTTCTCACCAAGCTCTGGCAAGAGAAAGGCCAGTGCTCCTCTCTTCCTCACCCCGTGCCTGTCAGGGTGACCTGGGGGTTATGACCCCACTGACGGTCACCGCCGACAGGGGCAGCCCTGAAAGGGCTGGTGCATTACCTCTGAGGCACTCCCCACCGCGGGGCTAAGGATGGCTCACGTCAAGTTCCCGAGTACTTCTGCCCATGTCACGCAGTCCCCACTGTTGGCCCACAGTGCAGCCAGAGAGGGTGATGAACTTGCTCAAGGTCACCTGGCTGAGATCCAGCCCACAGACAGCCTGGCTCTGAAGCCAACACCCAGACCGTGAGTCGTCTCCGTCACTGACCATGCCAGCCACCTGAAGATGGAATAAGTCCTGGCCCTGGAGGGGTTTCCACCAGGAAGTGGGGGACCCCTTCTTAGGTGTGGTATGGGGAATCCACACACGGCAGCCTGACGGTCCTGGAGTGGGTCCTGGAACAGAAGCATCAGCATCGTTGGGAACTTGGCAGAAATGCAGATTCTCAGGACCACCGCGGACCTGAGCAGAATCAGGTTCATTGCAGGGGACCCAGCAATCCAAGAATCTGTTCAACACGCCCACCAGTGGACTCAAGGGTGAGAACAGCCCCGGTAAAGCATTAGGTGGAGCTCTAGTTCCAGAATCCTCGTTCTGAAGTTGCTGATGGGTGGAATCGGGTGTAGGAACAGGGTCCATTCTACCTGTGTGACTCTTCCGCTCCATGACGGGCAGAACGGTGACCCCCGGCCTGTTCTAATCCAGGACCTGTGGACGCATCATGCTACACTGCATGCAAGGGGACCTGGGGTAGCACATGGAAGTGAAGTTGCTAATAGCCGACCTTAAGGCAAAGAGGTTATCCTGCATCTCTGACCTCTCCAGGTGTAACAGAACACACGTGCGTTGTTTTGAGCAGGGAATTTGTGTAACCTGCTCACAGCAGCCACAGGAAGCTCTTACACCCTGTAAACTGCTGTGCCTTGTCTCCTCGAGTAGACCAGACACTGAACAGGTGGGGATTCCAGGCAGGCTCCCTCCTCGACTGGGTCCTCACTGGAGGCCGAACTCCCT